AGAAAACACTGCCAGCAATGGAAAGAGGGGAAGGGAAGGTGTGGGAGGGACACGGCGGGGATGACGTGTCCCTTCCTAAGGAGCGGATCCACCTGCTGAGCCCCGCTCACATCCCCTTGCTGAGGCCAGCGCGGAGCAGCTCCGGGCGAGCTCCGTGCGCGGCGGAGCATGCGGGGAAGGGCCGCTGCAGCGACTCACCTGGACACCCAGCAGCGCTGGGAAAGGGCCACCTTCACGGTCTTTTAAGCTAAAATTAACACCGGAAGCAAAATTCAAGATTCAAATCACATGCTTAGAGTAAATTGTGAAACTCAGTTACACAAGAGAATTTGCTGTTACTGACTGTGTGTCTCAAAGTTTCTCGGGACAGTGGGAATTACCCACATGTCAGTCGAGCTCTGGGTCAAGGGGGGATTGACCAAGAAACACCTTTCCCTGCTTTCCCCGCTCTTTATTACCAGCAGAGATTCATGTGAGACGAGCTGGCCAGGAGCAAAGCAAGGCTGGGGGACTACAGGACAGAAATGGAAACGCAGAGGTCAGGGTTTGAGCTGGGTCAGTGCCCTGGGGCAGTGCCGGGCCCCAGCTCTCCCATACTTGTTCTTGGCCCAACGCTGGCAGAGCAGCCTGTGTGCTGGCGAGACACACAGAACGTGTACGTGCTGCAGCAGGCACCGGAGCCATGCCGAGAGACGGGGCACCAAAACACCTGAACGACAACAGGGTCTAACAGTTCCCTGCCCTTCTACATCTCAGAACTGTGGATCTGCTCGTAAAAACACTCAAAATATTGCTTACGAAAGCTTGCTTGAAGTATGAAAGTTGTTTGAAAGGTACTTCACAGGACAGCTGTTTTACGGGAAAAGTTAATGTTGAAGAAAAGAAGAATTAAAAGAACTTTTAAAAATAAATGGGGGGATGTACTTAAAAGCACAACCAGCAGTGGTAAATAAGAAGGCACCTATGGCACCCGTGAGAGCAAGCCCTGCCTGCGGCAGACGCACGGCGGGGCGCGGGCCCTGCCTCTCTCCCTCGCTCGGCTGCGCGTCCTCGTGGCCTCCTTCTCTCCTGACCTTGTCACAGCAGCTGCTCCGGAGCCCCCAGCTCCCCGCTCTCCACGTGCGGGCCGCACACCCCCAGGCATTTTAAGCTGGCGGATTCCGACCAGAGTATTTTAAGTAGCTCTAGCTGTCATTTTAACATGAGTAGAGATGCCTTGAAATAAAACCTCCTGGCATAGGTGCATAAACCAAAATAAACTGGAATTACTCCTCGGCAAAAATCTGAAGCTGCTTCTCTCTGGCCTTGAACCAAAGACCTTCAACAGCTGTCGAGACCTCGGCGGTCTCGTATCAGCACAGTTTCATGTCAGAAAGAGGCACTGTGTCAGTCCATTCAGCCTCCCACATAGCAATCTTGTGTGGTCGAGCATGATAAATATTGTATTGGGACAG